CTACACCCACCCCCACTCCCACACGCACACCCACACCAACCCATACCTACACCCACACCCACACCCACCCACACGCACTCACACCCACACCCACACCCACACCCCCACACCCCCACACCCACACCCCACACCCACACACCCACACCCACACCCACACTCACACCCACACCCACACTCACACTCACACCCACACCCACCCACACCTACACCCACACCCACACCCTCAAGATCGAAGCTGCCCATCTCTGATTAGTTGATCTCGCACTTATAACGCATTAAAGGGAGGCCCCTGAGACGAAGTCAATTTTTGTGAAATAATAAAATTTTTGTGATTTCTAGTTCGTTAGATAGATAAAAGTGTCTGCTTTTGAATCCATTAGGGTCGATTGATTTTATGATCAGCTTTAAGGACACCACATAGCTTTTGCTGAATCTCCATATTTAGAAAAATAAGGTTTTTAAAAACTTATTTTTCGTTTTTCTTAAAATTCATTCTTTTGGAGTATACTGTTTCGGCAGGCAAACTTTACTCAATATATTACCATTATTGGCTTCTACTTTTATTAATAATACTTTTTAAATAAAAGATAAACAGTTTTTATGAGAATTGTTTATATGACGTTGTTTTTTTTTCAGTCAATCCAATTGTCTATAGAAATTTTAACGTCGTTAATTATTGAAGTAATCAAAATAATAAAATATAACTTTTTTTTGTTATGCATTTTGCTTAAAATAAATAGATAAATAAAAACTAATGTATGAGAAGAAATGAATTAAGTTGAGATATATTAGATGTCTAAGTGTGGTTTTGAGAGATAAAAATACGCATAATTACTAATATGCTGTATAATCATCAAATAAAAACTATCAATCTTCTAAACAAGCATAAGAAGAGGAAGTTTTTTAGTAACTCAAATACACAATATAGAGATAGTATGAGAAAATAATCATGGCTGTTGTCTTTCTCATTCTCTAGTTTTATTTTTCACTTTCTAATGCTATATTCATACAGGTAAATGAACAATTTTAATAATAGGTTTTTCTTTCTATTTATTATCATTTTGTTTTCGGTTGACATTGATCTATAAATAGTCAATCAGAATATTTTACAAAAATAAGAACAGAGTTTAGCTTTTATGGTTGGATTCTTTGTTTTTCCAAACGATAGTTATTCTCGACTTGAAATTTTTTTGACGCTAGACGTGTTTAAGAAAAGAAGAAATCCGTATGAAGGAAAATAAGGGATGATGAAATCCTTTTAAAAATAATTATCTTGGAAAAATGTGTCAAATATATTTCGATAGGAATACTTTAGATCTATTCATCAACAATACCATGCAGGTATTCACATATTAACATGAGCAAAATCATAAGAAATTTTAGTGAGTTTTGACGTATCTAACGAAACTCGAGATTAAAATCAAACAGTCATATAGATAACAAGTCCTCATCAGACTTTTTTTAAAGTATGCTTGTTGAAAAAACTACATATAGTTGGATGTTGCTTTTGTAGATTTTTCGTTTCACTTAAACCAACCTTTCTGTTTATGTCTGAGAAGGAGGACATTAGAGTTTGTGTTATAGCAAAAACAAGACGATGAGAAATACCTACAAAGTCATTGACATAAATCAAATATAAGATTGAAACAAAATTTGTTTTGTCCTCAGTTTAAGTATGAAGAATATAACAGAAACAAAAAGTTCAGAATTCAATATTATACTTGGTTTGAATGTCATGACTCTATTTGTTATCATTAGAATCAGCTTTTGTACAAATCTATTATCATGTTCAGTAAGTTAAGCAACGATATTTTAAAAAGGATTATTGTAAATTGTGAGATCATATCAACTTTATAAGAACAAAATAGTTGACTTCATCGTTTTCGAGGACACAGTAAAAAAAAAAGAAATTATTTATAATAATGATAATCAAAATAATCAAATAGATTTACTAGAAATGAAGATTAGGATA